AATGATAAAGCTCCTGGCCCTGACGGATTTTCTTCTAAATTCTTTAAGTCAGCCTGGAATGTGGTTGGAAGGGATGTGCTTATTGGATTACATAATTTTTTCTACTCTGGAAAATTGGAGTATGAGCTGAATCATACCCTCTTATGTCTTGTGCCGAAGGTCCCTAATGCCACTTGTGTTACTGAATTTCGGCCTATTGCTTGTTGCAATGTGTTGTTGAAGTGTATAAGTAAGATTATTGCTGAACGGATGAAAGGTTCGCTGGATGTTCTTGTAAGTAAGGCTCAATCTGCGTTCATACCTGGACGCCAAATCACTGATAACATCTTAATGGCTCATGAACTAGTTGCTGGGTATCAGAAAATGGAAGGTGAACCTAGATGCGCTTTTAAGATTGATATTCGTAAGGCCTATGACACTGTTGAATGGAACTTTCTGTTAGAGATGCTTACGGGAATGGGTTTTCACCCAGTTATGATCAATTGGATAAAGACTCTGATCACGACGCCCTCTTATTCCATTTGTGTTAATGGACAGCGGAGGGTTTTTTTCATGGTAAAAGGGGCCTTCGACAAGGCGATCCTCTCTCCCCTTATCTGTTCACTGTGGTTATGGAGGGTCTCTCGATGCTTCTTTCGAAGTGTATTGAGGAAATGGCTAATTTTTCCTATCATCAAGGATGCACGGATATTAAACTGACTCATTTGTGTTTTGCTGATGACTTGGTTTGTAAGTCAAAGTTGCCGTAGTTTCTCTTGCTGATTGCTTTGTATTGGTGACGTTTTTTCTGTCTTTATAAAATTGCCTGGGGAAACTCTTCCCCTTTCAGTAACTTTTGCCCGTTGCTTAGCTGCACATTCCTCATCCCAACAAGCATTTTGGTAAGCAATACGAAGATGACCAAGTTCTTCACCCAACTCAGCATTACAGGGATTTTTGTCAAAATCCAGTTGAACACGGTCTAACTCGATTTTTAGAAAAGAAGCCCTCTTTCCAAGATTACCAAAAGTATTACGAAGCCTACGAAGTGGGACCTTAAGAGCTTTTAAATGAGAAGTTACCTTAAACATAAAAGTCCCCTCAACATAATTAGACCATTCCTCCTTAATAATTTTCAAGAAATCCGGGTGCTCAGCCATAAAATTATAAAATTTAAACCCATACCTCGATTTCCGTAAACCTCCTTTAAAAGAAAGAACCACCGGTGAATGATCCGAAAGTCCAGCAGGATGGAAATGAACAGTGGCATCATTAAATTTAGAAGTGAATTCTGCATTAGCCATAGCCCTATCAAGTTTTCGCATGGTACCCCCTTCAGAATTCGGCTTTTGATTCCAAGAGAAATGAACACCAGTATACTGCAGATCAAAAATTTCTACATCCTCCACACACGCAAAAAAATCAGACATATCAATATTACGGCGGGAAGACCCTCCAAACCCATCATGAGGAAATAACATGGAGTTGAAATCACCCATTACTATCCAAGGATGGGAACCAATCAAGACTTTAAATTTCCTTAACCCCGACCACAATTCTCTTCGATGATTGCATGCATTTGCAGCATAGACCAAAGACGGAAAGAAAGCATCTTGACCACCTCTTAAAAAAACTTTACAGTTCACGAATTGATTCTGAACCTCCATAGCCATTACATCTAAAATACGGGAATTCCAAGCAAGGATGATACGAGTACCCAACACACACAGTTTGATTAGAAATCCAAGCCCACCGACCAAAAAGCTTTGCACACACACTTTCAAGAGAGTCCTTAGACACATGAGACTCAATAATTGCACACAAACTAAGATCATTACAATGAAGAAAAGTTTTTACCTCATTTTGCTTTATCGGAGAATTGAGTCCCCGAATATTCCAAGTTGCAAATTTTAGCATGATGAAGAGGTTTGGTCAAACCCTTGCTCCCTCCTGTACATATTCAAAGTGTTCTCAACAGAATCTTTATCCATGAGCACTTGGTGATCAACTAGATTTTCCTCCTCATCTAACTGCTCCAGAACTCCATATTTATTGGGAGCTACCACAGGATCTAACAAAACACCCCTTCTTGGCATCCGAAAGTTTTTGACCACAGAATCAATAAGAGGGGTGGGAGTAGGCCAAGAATGGGACGAAGAGTTTATAGATTGAGAAGAAGAAGACCTAGAACCAACATTACCTATGTCCTTTGCAGTATTCTTCATAATCGCACTTGTTGTAGCAACGTCATTAGTCCCAGTATTCCTTATTTCTAACTGATCCGTATTCAAGGTGCTTGCTCTCACATCCACCGGACGAACAAGATTTGTGACGATCTCAAGTTCTTTACCTTTGGCCTTATTTCCAATTTTCGGTCGCCAATGCTTTTTCTCTACTCTGATAAAACCATCTACATCTTTCCTCCCATCAACTTGCTTACCTTTATTCATACTAGGAGCTTTAACACAAGAATAAATTTTATGACCAAAAACCTGACAATGGGCCTGACTTAATGGGCCTACACACCACATCCCAAGATAACCTGCACCTACCTCGCGGATCCTCCCTTGGAGCCCAAAGGAATTTCCGGAAAATAGATTCAAGATCATGGGCAATCCCAGACGAAAATAAGAACACAGACATCCAATGAAGCTGAATAGATTGAAGGACCGAAATAATGAGTTGTCTTCGTCCCCCAAAAGAAAGGAACTTAGACTTCCAATTAAAAATACGACCTTTAACCCTAGCTATCAAAGGACCATAATCAACAATCTTCAACCTAGCTTGAGATAAAGGGACACCCAAGTAACGAACAGGAA